GCAGCAGCTGTGTCACACAGCAGTATGGAGCTGGAAGAGCACATCAGAGTTCTGTCTCGGGTGATGGGACTAGTGGAGATCCCAGTTACATCACTGGAAAACCGTAGCACCTTCAACACACCATGAGCAGTGCCACTTAGGGCTCTACATGGAAGCTGCTATATTTTATAAATGATGATCTGCGCTCTCTGGAACTCAATGCATCAAACTCCACAGAAGGGTGCAAGGGAAAGAAATAATCCCAGTATATCTAGATTTCTTTCCCTCATTAAATTTCCCAGGCCTTATATTTTCAACTGTGAATGTTCTCTGATTGCCAGCTTTTGGAGCGGGGTCTTGTTTTGCTCTGCAGTAGGATAATGGTGGCATAGGGAAAACTCCAGTCAGACCAAGGCCAACAAGTGCAGCAGTTATAGAAAGGAAAGCTACTAATAAAAACCCAAACCATACACACCAGAAAGGAATAGTGCTAAAAAACCCCAAACACACACACCCATCCTGCCATGGATTTTGCACCATCATTTATTATCACACAAAACAGGTTAAAAATATCAGGTCAGACCAGCTGCATGCTGCTACCCATAAATAGATATTTGGCTTACAAGACCAGATTAACAGTTAAACACACACACACGAGACTGTTCCAATCTAATTTCTAATGGGCCCATGTCCACACCACAGAAGGAACCACTCTCCCTTTACAGAGCTTTCTATAAGCTTTACAAATGCCCTAGGCTAAAAAGATGTAGAAGCTCACGTCTCCTGCCCAAGTGGTCCTTCCAGGTTTGAACTGTAGCCCACAGATAACACAAGCACGTAAAAAAATTGCATTGCACTGCACCACTTCCCATTCTGCTCATAAATGCAGGCCTTCCTTCCCTAGCATGGTTTAACTTGGCATTTTAGATAAGCAGTTAGTAAACAAAAACAAACATAGGCACAAACCCCTGCCAAAACCTGCTACGAGCACTTACAAATCCAATCAGATAAGGACTGCCAGCATCTCCCAGGAGGTGTGAAGTGAAACTCTGCAAGGCCACTGCGGTTGCACGGCGTGTTGGAATGACCACATACTGCAAAGAAGAAGGGGAAAGAAAAAAAAAAGTACATAAGGAAACAAGTGAGAACCTGTCCAGCTGTCTTGTATTGCTCAGCTTATGCCCAGCTCAGGACAAAGTAAACAAGCTCCCCCAGACGTTGGTGGCAGACACAGCCACTGCCCGGTCCATGGGTGGCTCAAGCACCCTCCCTGGCTTTCTAGTACTCCTGATGGCAGGTGTCGAGGGAAGGAAGCTCTCTCCGGTGTGCACTCCTCTCTGCAGCACCGACTGCATGAGTTTGACTAACAACTTTGCCTATGAGACACTTTGCTATCGCTCCTCAGCCTGTATTTTGCTTGGCTGATGGGGAGAGCAAAGTTTGCGGTTGCCTGCAGCACATAACTTGCTCAGCGCCACCAGCCTTCCAAACAGGGACTTTGCTGTAACCTGGGATATTGGGTTTTTTCCATAACAAAGATATCATTTTGTTTCCTAAACCATAAGCAATTCACATCAGTATGAAAGGTCACGCATCCTCCTCTCGCACTCCATCTCTAGCCACTTTGTATTTTTCTCAAAAATTTGCAATTCCACTTGTGAAAAGTGGACACATTAAAAAAAGACACATTAAAAAAATTTTCCATAGCCAAGATACTGTAGTTAGGTCTCCACACCTCTAATAGGACATGACACCCTCAGCCAGGTCATGCAGAATCTGTCTGACTACACAGGATCAGTGGAAAACACAAATTACCTCCCCATTAAGGGACCAGACCCCACAGAAAATAGAGTCCTATCCATGGAAGGGGATGAAAATTAAAAAAGAAAAAACCCACAAACAACAAACCCTCATCCTGCAGAACAACCTTAATTTCATAACACAAATTTAGGAGGAGAAAAAAGTAGCTCCTGCATAAAACTTGTGAAAGAAGCTGGCTAAGAACATCTCCATCAAGTCCACATGTCCTGGTTTAGAAATTGATCCTGTCTTGAGTTAAAGGCTCTAAGTAATGAAGAATTCAATGGGTCTCTAAATCCAAGTGAGCTCTGTTTCCACTTCTGATCACTGAACCTTGTTCTGCCTTTTTCTATTTTTCTGGAGAGCTACCTACCCTGCCAGAAATGACTCTTCTTTAGCTATTTGTACACCACGATCCCTTTTACTTGTCCACTTTCTCTCTGATGGGCTGCCTTTAGTCTTTCTTTAGAAGACATGCCTTCCCAGACTTCTGGCAATCCTTTCCTAAAGTAATTTATTAATTAAATGTGACATTTCAGGACTGGCACATCCCCAGCTAGAGATACAGAGATGAATTTACCTTAGCTGACTGAGGTAGAGTGAACTCATTGCTCAACAGCGACATATCTCAGGGCAGAGGATATGAAGCACCGTTTCAGTGCTTTAACACTTCCTCTTAGGGAAGGTGGGTTGCCCTGTCTGCAGGGGAAAGAGCCATTAAAAAAGGGAAGAAAAGAAACAGCATTGAGAAAATCTGTACTAGAAAAGAACTGATGCTTCTTTAGAATGATCAACTCATTCCAAGCACAGACAATTAGGAACGATGGGTGAAATTAGATTAAATGCTCTTCCTTAGGGTTTTACCATGTGCTTTCCGAATGACCTGCCAGTTCTATCATTACCCGTTTGACAAAGCTGCAAACGCGCACTGCTAATGGACTTTGACACCACGCATTAAATGGGTACCCGGTTAAACTCCTCTGGTGCAACAGAAGATGATCAGATCCGCAGCAGCCACCCGGCTGCGGATGTTAGACCCTGTCCTCCTTTTGCATCCAGGAGCTGAAAACAGACTTGAAGGTTCACAGAAATCCCAAGAGGAAAATAAAGTCTGCACTTTATTAGAGACACAGAAACGTACTGAAGGTCACACTGTGAAACAGTAGGAGAGCCACACAATTCATTACCATTCCCCAAAGATGCAGGGTAATAGGTGCAACCTGGATAGATTAGACAGAAGAAAAGAGAAAAGAAAAGAAAGAAAAGAGTTATTGTTCTTCTTCCCACCTGGCCCCAGCTCACACAGGTGCAACAGAGAAGCATTCTGCAAGAGCTGTTTGAGAAAAGCACATCTGAGAAGATAAAGTGAAACTCTAACTAATTCAAGAGTCCAGAGCTGTGTAGATCTGGGAAACAGGGAATTTTAAACTTCTGCTAAAATATTTTTCTTTCTATAAAGCTTATGTTAACAAATCTGGAGAAGAAAGCCTGCTTGACCCTATACTCTCTCCATTTTCTTCACAAAATGACAAAGGAAATGGCAAATTTATTAAAAACCTACCATTCTTAGGGAGTGGCAGTGAATTGGTGCTAATTGGATAAAGGAATTTGAATGATACTTGTATCATATGTGTGTGCGTGTATATTTATACACATTAATACACACTCACACATATATTAGACATATTTTTGCATATATATATGCAAAATTATATATGTATGCATATATTATGCATACATATAGTTTTGAAGTAGCAGTAAAATTTCCAGCAAGTTTTCAGTTTGCCTAGCTAAAGAAGTTACTGATGGCTGAAATCATCGATATGGTTTGGCACTATAAAGTGCAAAAAAAAAATAGGTAAGTTTAGTCCAGAATTCAAGTGACAAGAAAAACTCACAGAAAATAAAAACCCAACATGCGGCAAGCAAACGAACATGAGATTTCTCCTCCTCCTCTAAAAATATACCGGAAAGAAAAAAAGGCTTAAACCATCATCTCCAAAACACCAAAAAATTCTCCTCCCTATCCCTGCTTAAAAAGCATTTTATTCTGATGGAGAGGAAGCAGTTGGTAGCAAACATTATCTACTGTTCTAGGAAGACAGCAGTAAATTACAGCTCTAGATGGACATTTTGATACCAAAATAGACCTAAATTCAAACCATCCATGGCCTGGTTTGAACATCCCACAGAAACTGGAGGTGGGAGAGCCACAGCAGCCGGGGCAGAAGGCCGTGGGATCGTCCTGGCTCATCTCTGACTCCAGGTTCTGAGGCAGGCAGCACAGAGGATGGGCAGGGAGGCTGACCAAGCAGCTTTGGCAAACCTCTGCTCTTTAAATAGAGTTCAGAAAGGCCATGGTTTACTGCTGACATCCCCTTCCTGTAGAGAAACCAGCAGAATGAGTCAGTCTGAAATAAGTTAAGCAGGAAACCCTTCTCCCAGTAAAAGGCTACATGCCAAAGAGGTAAAGTTCTGATGTTCATGTCTAATCTTGGATAGAAAACTCTCCTCTCTCAGAGACTTTGCTACCCTTTCTGGGTCAGACAGTAATCTTCAGGACAATGCATACCGGCCTCTTTCAGCACCAAAGGCAAAGAAAACAGATGCTAACTCTGCTCCAGCCGCCGACAGAGCCTGGACATAGTCCAGGTGTCCCTGTTGTAACTACTGTTGAGGAAAGGCAAAGGCTGTGATCCAGAGAAACCATCCTGAGAAAGACCCTTCACTCAAGCTAGACAGACTGTCTAAAAAAATACTTTGAAATGAAGTCAAAGGAGTCTGACCTGGTCTCCAAATCACAACACAACACAGAGCAGTACACATCCACCTGCAACCCTTGGCTCACAGGAGAAGAGCCGAGATGCCCCTTGGCACATCCTTCCCGGTCAGAGCTGTGTGCAGGTGTTTGAAGTGGGCTGTGCACCTTCATTCAAAGGCACCTCACCCTGCCTTGAAATCCAAACCACAGCACTCAGATGTGTGGAGGCACATGGGGAGAAGCAACAATGAGATCTTCTGGAAATGCTATCTATCTTTGGCCATAAAAATAGGGCAGTATTTCATACTACATAAATATTTGGTTTTTATTTATAGAGAAGGTAATCAGAACAAAAGCAACATTCCTCCACACCTACAGCATAGCTGAGCACCACTCTGTGCCTGTTTGGAGCCTAAAGGAAGACTTTTACTCTACAGCAGAACATTAAAGCAGCTCCTCCATGGCAGCTCATGACCATCTAAAAAGAACTAATGTTTTAAAAGAAAAAAGAAATACACAGAGCGTTTTTTTTGCATGAGTGTCGGGACTTTGCATAAACTGGAGGATGGCTTTTCTCAGCAAAGACCCAAAGAGATTGTGATTGCAATAGCTGAGGCCCTTTAAATTGCCTACTGGCTCTTACACAGAAACACCACCAAGCCTCTGTCCATCATCTTTATTTCTGAGATGTGCTATGGAGGAAAAACCCCACTATTAGGACCAGATTCCACAAAGTCCAAGCACTCAGCATGTCTCAGTGTTACACGCTTGCCTGCTGCACTGAAGCTCATTCATTAGTGCTGTTACAAGGCGGTTTTAATGCTACTTTGGGGTTCTGGTAATTTTGAGGCCAATTTGCAAAGATGGCTGATAAAATCTGTTTCATAATTAGCATGCTCCATAAGAAACATCCCCCCCCTTCCCTAAGCACCATCTGAGCATGTGCCGGGGAGGAGATTTGGGGAGTTGTGCTCAGGAGAATAAGGCCTGTCTTGTACGAATTTGCATTCGGAACAAATATCAGCCTTTTAAAATCTCAGGCAGTGTGGTACATTCTGCAGCGCTGACAGTTTATCAAACCTCGCACTCAGCACCTCTTACTGCAGACAATTTGAGGAGCTGCACACCGACTGTTACGCTGGCAAGAACACTAGATGCCATGGAAGCACGAAGCTATGAAGAGCCAACAATTAAATTTGAAGATAATATGCAAACACATTGTCTTGCCAATGAAATAAAACTTGCAAAACCTCTGAAGATGCTTACCAACTTGCTCGATAGGGTTCTTAAGCAGTCAGGAGATCTGTAAATCTTGGGAGAGCTATGATAAATCATTTGGGATGGAGTTTCCAAAAACCCTCACTTCTGGCATAATGAAACCAGTGGCAACAGTGTTCAGCCAGTATTGAGAGCTTTTTATCCATGAAAACAGGATAATATTTATGTATATGATGAAAGTGTTGTTAAGCTTATGCTAATAATGCTTTTAAACTCCTCACCAGCCTCAGGCAAGAACAGACACACTTCTGATTACACCAAATAAATAGTAATCAGTAGAAATTAATTTGCCAAACACTTAAAGTGCATCTTTCCAAAGCATATCCACACCTTTCTCTGGCTAGGAACTCTTATAAAGCTGTCTGTCAAACATGGTTATAGCCCTGGCTCTCACCTATTGTCTGACTGAACATCCTCTCAAACCCCGTGTGTAATACGAACACACTTCAGACCATCTGTTTACAGGCTTGCACTGATCTAAGTGGATGTTTACATTTATTTGTATAGCACTTTTACAGGTTTACTCGTGCTGATAATGCATTAAGCTGGGCATTATATATGACACTCAGGTCATTTCTCTAAATAGACAAGGGAACAGCTGCTTAAGAGTTGGCATCAATTACCAAAATCCAATTTTTAACATGGTTTTAGTTCCTTTCCCATGTTTTGGAAATTAGAACTAAGAAATTATTTCTAATTATTTCTAGTCATTTCTTATGGAGTTCTTTTGCACTAAAGCAACATAAATAACTGCAAATGCATCCCTACAAAATGCAACTGCCTATAGGATGCTGGTAAGACAGATGGCAAACCCTATAAAAGCTATTAAAAAGCTACAGGATACTGAAGTCACATTGAAATCAACAAAAAAGTCTCAGTAATTAAAATGGGACAATAATAGCATCCTTAGTAGACTTGGTATAACAAAGTAGTTGGTTGGAAAATGTCTCTTGGGGTTAGCTTGAGACAACGTAGGTCAAGTTTCAGCTCTCTCTGTGGCACAGATTTCCTGGAGGACCTTGAACACGTCCACCAGGTACCCTCCTCCCTCCAGCTGCTCTTTGAGAGTCACGGCTGGAGGGCTGCAGATGTGCTCCATGGCCAAGCTCTTATGTGTTTCAGCCAATGCTAGTGAGGATGTAAAAGATCTGCTATTTAAGCCCATCAGCTAATTCTGACCAGAGAAAGTTGGGAGTGCTCCTGGGAACATCACAGCCAAAGGCAGGATGCGATGGGAAGCTCTGGCAGAAGGCAGTAACGAGCAACTAGAAATACTGCACTACAATTTCTTCCTCAACACAGCTGTCTGTAGACTGCACGTCTGTCTAAGCATTGAGATGTCACTTAATGAATGGCCACAGCAGCCCTGAACTGAGCACAAGCTGCAAACCCCATGTAAGTACGGAGTAAACACCTGTTCAGCCCATCCAGAGTTCTATCACACTAAAGCTAAACTGGTAGGAGTAACGAACCTCAGTAATTAAAAGCTATCTAATGCTACTGAAGTGCACTGATAACCTTTGTTTCTATGTGCTTTATCCACATCTGAGAGAAGTGGAATTATCCACCCCACTTCTCAAAGTGTTCTTTGCACAAATGAGTTAAAGATTGAAAGCTCATCAGGCAATGCAGTTATGGCAACTACAGAGCTACCTTCAAATGTAAACACAACCTTGAACTTAAATCATAAACACAACTTAAGCAGAAGTCTGAAGTTCTTCAACACCATTATCTTTACATCTAGGAATACTGAGCCAGATTGTTTTCTCGTTGATATTTGCATGAGCAACAAACACAAGTCAAGGGAGTTTTCTATTGATGCCAGACTGATTATATTTTTAGTTCTGTCAACAACCTGCCAAAAGACCTCGGGCAAGTCCTGTAATGGTTCTGTGCCCTAGTTTCCTTCTTTTTCATACAATAAGCAACAAGTAACCCCCCTCACAATGGGATTTCAACACAGTATGTTTGATAGGCTCTGTACGTCTCTGATGGAAGCATCTACAAAACATGCAAGGCTCTCTAACAAACATCCAGGCTACTTCATATGAAAATCTAGCTGCTGAGGTCAGCTTGCTGATTTGAAAGACTTGAAAAGCTCTATGGTAGAGAAAGAATAGAAAATGAAGGACATGAGGTGAAAAGTCCCTGACAGTTTCCTCCTGGACAGGGTGGACATAGTCCAAAAATTCTTTATACTTTCTTTTCCTCTCTCCTCTCCCAGAGGTGGTTTTCTATTGTGTATGTGTTGAATGGTAGGTTTGTTGGAGTTAAGCCAGAGACAGAGGTAGATGGCTGCCTTTGTGGTCAGGGGAGGGAGGGAGGGAAGGATTTCCTATTGCAGAACAAAGCTGAGTTATTGATAACAAAATCCACTAATGTGCTGACTATTAGGAAATGCTGGCAGAATTCTTTGTATGTGGGGTTTTGCACAAATACTTAGAATTTGGGGGAACTATTTGAATTCAGTAATGGTATCCTTTCTGGACATATCTTCTCCTTGATGCTCAGAACAAAGCACAAGAAGAATCTTTTTTTCTTTTTCTCTCTCTCTATCTCACTTTCCTTTTCAGCAAGTAAAAAAAGAAAAAAAAAAAGAAAAGAAAAAAAAAAAGAGGCTGAAGTAGGGCCTAGGCATCTGGAAGAAATGGTGAACTTTAGGTTGTTCTTGCAAGCTGACAAACTGCTCTGGCCACCAGAAGAGAAAGATGCTGTTCCAAAGTACACTCACCATTAGTATGTCTGCTGTGATAGCCCAGTTTGAAAACAGAAGAGTTTCTCCGATAAAAATGCAAATCTGTTGTAACAAAACACACAAAAAGGAGAAGATTTATTCACTTGACATTCAAGGATAAAATAACCTGTCACAAACTTTCCTTTGTTGCTTATTTGTCTCACACCTACACAAAGGATTCTTCTGTATATAATTCACTCCTGGTTACTGTTGTGGTTTATCCTGAATATTAGAACACTATAGATTTTTATCAGAGCTCTAGAGGGTTGGCCTGCAACTTCATTAGTGTAAACTGCTTATGATCTACAGAGCAGCTAAATAAAAGGCTGATACATTTGGTAACAGAAGAACATGAGAAGCCAGCAAGAGGAGGCAGCCCTGGGCTTCCATAATTAAATCATTCTGTTCCAAAAGGCCAGTTAGAGAAGGCAAGAAGGCCACAGCTCCCCAAAAGACAGTCATTTTCATCACTAGGAATCAAGTTACGTGTTAAGCTCTGTAGCAAACCAGGTGAGGTTCTCTATCCACTATGTGCAAGATCCCTTCCTTCCCCTGATAGCATATTGCCGTGCTTTTTGAGGGGGACACAGGTCTAGGCACTATAACAACTTGAGCATTACATTGGTAATATCTACATCCAGTCAAGACAGGACTTAAGTATGGGTTTTGCAACATCAGCGTTTTACAGTGAAATGTAACTCTTGGCTCTGTGGAGACAGTCAACAAGATACATTAAAAGCCCTGTGTATGTAGCGGGATGAGAGCTTCTTTTTGCAGTGGTGTGGTATGAACAGCCACCACATATCCTTTCCACCTCTGGCACTTCTCCTCAATTACTCCCATCCCACACCGCCATCTCAGTTGTGCTGGTACCATGGAGCCAAGCAGGGATTGAGTGGGAAACTGAGATGGGGCAAAGAATCTTTTGTTGGGGGGAGGTAGGGGAAGAGGGGCTCGTTTTGCTTATTTTTAACCCAGATCAGTTCTTTAAACAGTTCTACAGGTAGTTATACCACTTGAAGAACTGGAAATGATCAAGAGGAGAAACTAATTTAACCTAGTCTCATCATTAAATGTTCAACAAACTGAGTCCAATGGAGCAAGGGTGACATGGTTAAGGAGGAACACTACCTCACAAAGCTTTTTACTCATATTTCAATCATAATCCTTTTGATTTTATGCCGTATGTTAACCATTTAGCAAAGAAATGTAGGTTCAACAGGATGGAAACACAAGGATGGAAAATCTTCCACATGTTTCCCTGTTCCTTTGTGTATTATGAAGAGCAGAACGCACAAAGCACGACATAAATAACCACACTTGTAAAAATCAGCTCCCCTGTTCCCCACCACCAAGCAAAACTCCTTTATTAGATGTTTCCCCAAAGGTTGCTTTTTGCACAGCTAACCCATTTCTTTTTGTGGCATCTAGAGAGAAAACACGACTCCTGGAATCCATATTGGTAGTTGGAGATAACAGCTATGGAGATTTGGGTTCTGGTAATTGAAGATTCCCCTTTCAATTGCCTTATGCTCAGTTTTTGTGATGTTGAATAGGCTACAATTCATTAATGAAACAAAGCCGGCAAGAAATACACGGTACACATTGCTTTGAGGAAACAATGATGTTGTTTTGTGGTGTTCTTGTGAGCTTTGACAAGCTGACAGTCACGGTCACTGTTCAAGTCCCTGTTGCTTGCACAGGCGCAGTTTGGGTGGAAGGAGGACCTCCAAGATGGGCAGCTATGGCTCTGATGCAACCATCACAACTGTCTTTCCCACACACAGGTTGAGACTGCCTAAACCCCTCAGACCATCATGTCACTCCCAGGAATAGTTTGCTTTATTTAGCAAGTCTTACGCATTGACCTACAGAAAGCTTCCTCTATTTGTTTCTAAAATTGTCTTTGTTACCCACACATTCTCCCTCCCTATCCCCTCTTTTTGTGACTGAATCTATTTCCTCTGTGATGGTGTCTGAGACAGTCATTACAGCCCAGCTGGTCAGCTAGGAAATCTCCTCTTTCCATTTTCCCACTGTCCACTGGTCTGCCTTGAACTTGGCTCTCACTGGAAATGACAACGGCCAAGCTAAGAGACACAGATCCAATGAATCAAGGTGCTGACAGGAGTTTTAGCCATGTGTCATGTAGCGAGGGCATACTGGAGCCCCAGGTGGATTCTCAGGACCTGCTCTGAAATCTCTCCAAGTACAGCTTTGCAGCTGCAGTTGCTGGGGTTCTGCGGCCAGGCAGATTAAATTGAGCTTGGGAAAAGATGTAATCACACTTCTGAATGCAGCATCAACACGCCCTGCCTGTTCATACAATATTGCAAACAGGCAACTGCTTGCCTTAAGGTTATATAAATTGCATACACATAACACATATGAATTGTTGCACGCAGCAAGTAAAACTTGCCCTCTTCTGCAGGAATTCAGCACAAGTCCTATAAATAAATCACTGAAATGCCACAAACTTCAGAGTGCACCAGTTCTGAATTGTTGAATGCGTATTTCACCCAACACATTTCCATGAAACGCATACTTAATATGTGGATACTGGTAAAAGGATAAGAGGAACAAGAAGAAGATCAAAAAGTAGGACAAAAGATACTGACATTAAAAAAAGTCTGTCCTTCAGCTGCTAATGGGGATTTATAAAAATGAGTTCATCCACTGCAAAGGGCATATGAGGATATGTGGCATTTCTGCTGGAGAGAGACTCTAGGGATGCTTACTGCAAATAGGGCAGCCTCCAGAACAGATTAATAGCTCCTGCAGTGGGCACGGTTTTGATTCCTCACACACTTTTCGAAACCTCATTTCAGCTCTAGAGATACATCCTCTTCTGAATCCAGCTGTGTTGTATAACATCTCACCATCTCCATTTGGTGTTCAGTTACTCATCTGTGATGAGCTGATAGAAGTTACCTCCCCCTCAAGCCTTCTGCTTATGTGCTCAGTTAGCAAATTCTGATTCTCAAAAACGACAAGTAAAGTAGTTTCAGAGTGGTTGCACCAGCAGCTCTCGCAGCAAGATCCAAGCAGGTTATAAACTCCTTCCATGGCTATCTGCAAAGTGTGTATCTGTCTACATCTTCATTATCTGTATTTGTATTTGACATGGTGGGTAAGACTCCCACATGTACTTTTGAATTTGAAGCAAGTCTAACTTCATCTCAGTGTTGGGCAATATTGATGCCTCAGAAATAGGTAAGTCACCAACACGATGTCAACAGAAAGTCCCTGGAGTTGAGTCTGAGACGCTGTAAAAGTTCTATGGCAAGGTTTTACCCTGGGAGTTGCTGCTTCTGCAAGATCATAAAATGTCTTTGAGGAATTGAAATAGATGTTGAAATTGAGGTACAACAAGAACTTGGAACAGTGTCAAAAGGAAGGCAAAGCAAAGCATCTCTCTCCTGTCATTTGGAAATTTAAACTAGTCTAAAATCTGCTGTTGAAATGTCTGAGTGGTGTGATACAATGATGCCATACAGCTAATGGGTTTCAAGAGACGGGTTTGAAACCCAACATTTCAAAGAGTACATATTTCAGAATGAGCGGGACCTAAAGATATGCAAATTGCTGTTTTAAGGAGCTGGACTACAACACATAAATACACATGCTGCAAGGAAAATAGAATAAGAATACAGCCAAGCAAGATAGTAAAAGATAGAAATACAAGTGTCTGGGTGGTTAAGTGATACAGAATGCTGGTTTATTCCACCTTTCCAGCCACTTCCACCACTGCCAATAATTTACTGGATTAGTATGAAAAGATTGGATGAAAAAAACCGTCTGTCTACCTGTTCCAGGTAGGAGTGGCTGCTACAGAACTGGAATAGCAGCTGCCCTGAGGGACTAAAACCACCTGCAAGACAGGACTGAGCAGGGGAAAAAACCCCCAGATGTTCAGGAAGAGAGCAGACAGCTGACAGCCTGTAAGGGACAAGGTCATCGTGCTAATGGACACACAGGTCTTTTCAAAAAAAACCAAAAAAGACAAGAAATTAAAAAGCAAAGGCTCTGCTGATCCTTGCTGGAGTGCTGAACACTTCATTTAAGCTGATGCCAATATTAATTGAAATTAAACTCATGAGTGTTAACTACAGCAAGGAGGGAGATGGTCATCTGGTGGCCCCCACAGCTCAGCGTGACAGAACACCATCTCATGGGGACTGATCAAAATGCTTGGAAGTGATAATTGTAAGGCTCTGAGACAATGAGGGGTCCAAAACCAGTAACCCTTCAATTTTAGCATGGTGTGATCAGTGACAGAAGTCTAAGGACAGTCACAGTACAGAAGGTCTGGAAATACCACCATGTTGGGGAACAGACCAGAACATTGTTCTTGCCTTTCAGTCCTACAGAACTCAAGGATGCTGTTTCAGGATGAGAGCCAGGACAGAGATGTCAAGAAAATCCACCCCTAAATTTTACTGTATTCTTTCCAGAACAAGCTATTATCATGGATTTTGAGATAAAGAAGGTAACCTAGTCCATCATGCTGTCCACCAAATCTATGTTTTCCAACTCCAGAGAACAGTCTTGCCTTCATTTTGGACCAATGAGACTTAAAGCAGAGATTAATGAGAAACTGCTACATCATGGAGCCTTGCAAACCAGGTCTCCTAGTGAAATAAAAGGGAATTAAACACTCTGGGAGCCTGTAAGATTGCAATAGCATTGGATGGCATGGAAAAACAAGGGCTCGTGTTTGCAACTTGCCTTGAAAAGTCAATTCGACTGATACAGAGCACCACCATGGTAATACCTTGTGTTCTGAGACATTGGTAGCTCCAACATAGACCTGTTCTCTCAGTGGGGTTAGCACCCATAACGCTACACAGCAACAAGTGTTGTGTCATTGGTTTTTGTTCATATAAATTTATAGTGGATGGCTTGGCCACAGATCATCTCACTCCAAGTGCTTTACAAACCTTAATGATCTAACCTACCCTGACCCTTTGTAAGTTAAGAATCCTTATTTTTGCAGAGGCAAACCAAAGTTAAATAACTTGCCCACTGTCACATGTAGAATCTGTAAAGAGAGTTCAGATCTCTGATTCCCCAATCAGCACATTAACTGGACTCTTCTCTCCTTTCTATGCATCAGGTTTCCAGCAGCAGAGAAAGCTTTTTTAGGGATATGGAGTGGTAGCATTACCAGCAACAAATGTAGGCATCGGCCTAACAACATCAGCAAATAAGCTCATGTTCCTCATACCCCCTCCATATGCAGATATAACGTCCTTTGCAAATCATTGACTCTTTATTAGATTTACTGCTCGTGCATAATAAAATAAATCGTGTTTCTAAGATTGGTTAAATAATACCATCTACATTTATATATTTACATAATGTAGAATAGTCACACAGCTATTAAAAAAATAAGAAAAAAAGATGAAAATGAGACCAATAACCATCCTTTGTTGCAAAATTTTTGAAAACAGTATTTCCAGCTTAGAAAGGGAGGAATTTCTGCATAGAGAGACTAAACACCACAGATGAACATGCCTGTCATCAGGTCTGGGAAAGGAGAAAATCACAGGTCTGGCTGCACAAAGAGGCGGAGGGGAGGGGCAGGCAGAGGGATGTGACAGATCTCTTCACTCCGAGATGGCTGACGATGAAAGGAGGGTTAATGCTCGGCCCACCCCTAACTCCCTCATACAGGTTGTCCGAGGTGATCATTTTTCTGCTGAATCAAAGATTAATTCTAGACCATGCCACAAAACAGAGGACTGAATCTCCTTCTGATACTTTCTAAATAGCCAGAGCAGCCATTCTCGGTTCTGTCTTAATGTTTTAAAACTTTCCCTCTTTCTTCTTGTGTTTCCCCATAACAATGGCAACTATTGAAATACTCAGAAAATAACCATGGCTAGGCTAGTGCTAGAAGTATAGAGAAACAAGGAACTGCAGTAGATTGGTTGGTTAACTGTAAATGAATTCTCACGCTGGGTGGAGCGTGCACTGCAGTGTGGAAGCGAAGGGTGGGCTTTCAGAAATTATCCCACTACTCCAACCATAGCACACTTTCCCTTCAAAAACTTCTCACAGACTTCTCTCTATTGCACTGAAAGAGAGCCTGGGACCTGTTCAGTGCACTGGATTTCTACTCTCTACTGAAAGCAAGATTCTGGCCTGAAGCTGGATTATTATACTTAAGTTTTTCCTTTTCCCTTCAGTCTATTTGTCTGGATCTGATGTCTTTTTATATACTTCAATTATAAAATTTCTGGGAGGGGTCACATTTTAATCTGCATTTGTGCAGTTTTAAGTATTGTGGGTTCCTGGGCTATGACTAGGACTTTCAGGTGCTATGGTAATACAGATAACAATAAATTGAAATTACATGGTAATTAATATTGGCCTGCAGCAAGCTACCTAGTTATGGAAATTAACAATACTTATAGGTAGCCCAAAGCATGCCCACAGACAAATTATACTGTAATTATAATTTGGTACCACTGCAGCTACAATATCCTTACCAAAGGGTACCAAGAGATTAGGCAAGAGCGATAGAGGTATGGACGGAGGTATAGATAGAACAACCCAAAGGCAGGGAACTATGGGTTTTCATGCACTCCCTAAATCCCCAGCTCTAAATTCTGATGACAGTTAGCAAGGGGATAAGTAGTTGAGATATCATTTTCCCTCCAGGCACATCTAGATAGTACCAAAATGCCAAGGGGGAAAATGAGGGACTTTAGGGGAGAAGCAAGACCAATATCTCAGGCCTTCTGCAGGGGACAATGCACAGAGTCTTCTAAGGAGTTTGGTTAGAGAGAGAGAGACTGGCATATGCAAAGGATTATACTTACATAGGCTCCCACAATGCTGCTCTTGGCAGCAACGAAGATCAGACAGATGAAGATGGCTGATCCTAGCATGCCAACAGCACAGACAAGAGGATCAGCTCGCTGGGTTTTTAACCGGCACCATTTGGTTGCCCCAGCCCCTGTGATTACACCCAGGAAACCAGTGAAGCATGTGATTGCTCCGAAGATCAAGCTATTAAAAAGAAAAAAAAAAAAGGAAAAAAAACCCAGTTATTTTTTTTGGAGTTTTCCCAAAAATGGGCAAATTATTAGGGTACAGTGACTAATGGAAATCTGCACGTTGGCTTTGGAAATTTAAAATAAAACAAATGAGCTCCCCTGCTGAGTGCTTGCGATTTTAGCACTCTTCCCCTGTAATCAAGAAAAAACACAGCATATGAAATTCAGCCTTGTACACAGGCATTGATCAACACGCAAAGAGGTGCAAAGGGCTCATACCGCTTCTTTGTGTGGAACTGAGTGTCCTATCAAGTGCATTGTACAGCTAATTATGTATGCACAAAACTAAGCAATAACCTGCACATTGATCACATAAGAGGAAATCATGGACAGGACAGACTCTAGGAAGCTTAAGGGAAAAGAAACCTAGCAAGACTTCAAATAGCAGTGACTTTCAACATACTTTGACTTTCTAACTCCATTCAGACCACTTCAAAGAAGCCCGATTAGATTATTTTGCTGCTATGTTACACATTTGAAATGTGTTAATTTAAATTTAAAGAGCCAGGAGCTGTCAAGGATTCTTCGTATTGTATGTGCAGGACTTGGATTACAGAGTCTTTGGCAATGACATTACAGTAGCTCCAGGGGAGCTCAAAATATAGGTGTCATCAAGGAGTGGAAAACTTCTCTTTGTAAAAAGCAGATGGGCAGGCTGACTGGAGCTGTATTTTCTGATCACTGCTTTTTTGCAGAATAGACTGAGACTGCCCACTGGGCGCTTTAGCTGATGGTACTCCAAACCACTGAGTAGTTTACTTGAGGTGGGATTGTGTCAGCTAGAGCAAAAAGGTTTTCTTAACGTTATTTTTCCCTCACAAGCTAAAAAAGCGAAAGAGCTGACAAAAGGCAGTTTTTCGTATCTTTTATTCACCTGGAGAAATGCTTTTTTAGCATTTCATGTTTTGTGCCATCATGGTAAAGCACTAAACGGTGAATTACTTTTCATATCTTATGCACTGCAAGTGATATTATATAACTGGGACTGGAAAACCAAACCACCATATAACATCAGGCAATCCAGACCAAAGCGTCCCAGATCTCTGCACCATTTTTCAGCAAAACTCAGCATACACAGTAGTGTACAGAGCAATGAAACACAGCGTAGTCCTCCCTCAAACAGAAATAAAAGTCTTCAGGGTTAGTCCCTGAAGCCTTTAGGGAAACCAGTACAAACTCTGAATTATAGCCACCACTGGCTACCCAACCTGCCAGCTTATTCTGCTGCTCCCACAGAAAAGTGTGAGTCTTAAGAAACCAAATTCTCAGCTCTCCAAACATCCTCTAAGGCAAAGACAACAGTCTCTTTTTCTACTTCTGCATTATAGCCTGGGAACTGAGACAGAGCTGAGGTCATTGCTTCTGCCTTGGTTTGACTTCATGCAATGAAGAAAAGAAGAGAATAAAACCTAGTTTACAATCCCAGCATTTCCTATCATTGTTGCTAAGACCTAGAGGAAATTACAGACATTCTAGTAACTTGACTCCGTGGACGTGCCTGTTTCCTCTGGTAAACAAGCCCCCACCCCCTTTTCCCCTCTCTTTAAAGCAACGGGGTATGAATCTCACCTATCTTTGGTGCTGCAGGGCTGTGAGCTGCAGGTCTCTGCTGTCTTCTGTACAACCTGTGCTCTGTGAAGGTAGAGAGGGATCCACATGCCAAGCGCCCCTGTGGCAAAGGAGACAGCTGAGGTGGCCAACGATGAGAACACGTAGCTGCGGCTGTGGAGATGCAAGAGGCAAAACCAATAGAAGGTTTAGTGGGAAAAGTGAAAGAGCAGGAGCCCCAGGACAGGAGCCAGCGCTTCAGTGGCAAAACAGTGTGTTCCCCCATACTAACCACCTCCCTTTGCCAAGGGGCAGAGATCATACAAGGTACAAAGCAATGGAGAATGAGAGGCATGGAATATTTCATATCCATTGATAGTAAAGTACTTAACTCTTCAGTGGTGCTTCAAAGTGAGCATTTTTCACGGGATCATTTCAGAAGACAATCAGTACTTAGTCACTAAGACATGAATTACAAGGCTTTCACTGTCATATCACCTGTTTATCAGGATTACCAATTTCCCTTCTCCCTCCCATCCATGCCACCATATGATTACTGCCTGGATAAACTAACAAAATAAGCAATATAGAAATATTGATAAATTAACCATCATCACTTTTCATAGTTCTTTGCTACTGGATGACAATACCAGGAAGGCATTCTAGCCAGCAGTTCTAAAAATGAAGGACACCACAAGTTTCCCATCAGAATTCTGACACAACACTGATTTCACAAATGCAAGTATTTGCACATTCACAGGCAAGCCTTCTGGAAGCAAGTGCAGCTGCCTAAACACTCGTGAGCACGTGATCTTTTATGCACATATACAAGCACCCAAGCACATTCTGTGCTTGTGCATTCACTCACATGTGGTTGTATAAACATATATATTTAAACTTGCCATGTAGTGCAAGCTTTTGTGTATTTTCTCCTCTTAAATTACTCTGGCATTTAACTTTCTTTTTCCCTTCAGCAGAGTAGCTCTTTCAAGGAAGAAAAAGGATCTAAGCATCTGAACAACAGTGGCACAACAATTAATACAGGAACACAGCAATTTCTACACTTCAAAAGCCTTGATCTGTCTGAAGTATGAGCCAAACAAAGCAGACTCTCTCTTAGATCTGAATCTTGGAAAGGTTAGAGCAAAAGTTGGCATCCATCACTGTCATTGCAGTTGATACCTCGTGAAAATGTAACTGTGATTTTTCTTTCCACAGACCTTCCTGCAACTCCCTTACTTTCCAGTTCACAGTGCTAAGAAGCACAAGCCCCTGGATCTTCCAACTAAGCATTAGAGGCAAAGCATGCTTTTTACTAGAGTGCTCTTACTTTCTAATCAGTGCTTTCATGTCTCTTAGCCACGAGGTCCGAGCCTTCAGCTGTCCCCCAAGTTGTTCTACATTTCCTCTTTTAGCAGCAGGTACAAATATTAAGATGAGTGTCCCTGTTATCATTCCCAGGAGTGGAGATACCTGCAAGAAAGGAACAGGGAATTAGCACAGGAGTCAGCAGGGTTTGCTTTGACTAGTCAGTAAGAAGCAGATTACATTTGTTTTGTTTCAGCGACTCGATTGTTTACAGCTAGCCAGATCTGTAAGCACACTGAGGCATCTTCTCCTTTCCTTCCTCCCTGTCATTCCCTGGACTCTCTTATCTCACTCTGGAAGCATGCAGCTTTGAGAATACTCTGATGAAGGCAGTCCATTTCTTTGTGTTATTAAAGTGCCAAGATTCATCTAAATACGGTTCTTCAGTGATGCTTAACTCTTTGGGAACTTACTCCCAACTAGGCTGAGACCAAGTCATTTCTGGGAGAGCACAGAAGCCTTTTAAAGGCAATGAGGCCAGGTGAAAGATTTCTGGACATAGGGAGCATGCTGGGTTTGAAAATTCTTGCCTGACATACATCCCTCCTTCCAGCTAACCTACAATGGCTTCCCATTTTCAGGCAGCTTCCTCTGATCACCTCAGTGTACAGTAGACCAAGAAACATTAAAAATTCAGGCTAGAAGATAGGAAAATGACAGATTCCAGGGTTAGGTTTCCCAGTTTCCAATCCTTTCTCCCACTCACTAGACAAAAATACAAAGATCCCACAGTGTTTTGCAAGCTACAAACATGATTCTTGTTTTGACACTGAAATTCCATCATTGTCAGAATGGAAAATAGCTCCGTCACGAAAACAGGAACATGGATTTACACCAAATTATCATCTCTTCTATACATGCCATTTTAAAAATAAATTCCTGTTCCAAAAAATATGCTTCCAATAACAACCTGAGAACGGCCTTTACACATAAAGCAGTGTTTCATGTCTAAAGATGAAAAACCCAGAATTCTTCTAGGGAAGGGAAGACAAAAATATTTCAGAAAACCCTTCACCCAGGGATAAATGAAGCCTGATACAGTATCCTTATTACAGTTGAACACAAGACAGAGCACTGGTAAAAAAAATGGAAATGCTGGGATTTTCTAGGGTCATATAATTTGAAGTCTCTTTGATTTTTATCTAAAGGCTTAATCCCCCAGCAGGACAATATCCATTGATACTCAGTAATGCTCCAGTGAAGCACTGCCATTACTGCTACAGCCAGAGACAAAGCTGCCACTTGCCAAAGTGTCCGTCTGTCTTCTTTGGCCCATTGAAATACAGATTATTCCTGACCTCCCCTGGATTTGGAGACCACAGGAGATCACAGAGGGAAGCATTACCTAGGGGTATCTTGTACATCTTGCAAGAGCACAATAACTGCCACAGGGACGGAGGCTGCTTTATACTGATGTCTGGAAGTTTTCAACATGTGCTGTTTTACTATCAAAACTAAGCAATGCTGTCCAAAGCAACCATCATAGAAGTGTGCAGCTTGTCAGATTCCCCAATCATTTTGCACAGTCAGGGAATCATGCATCAATGTGTTATTTATAGTGCAAATCATGACCCCATAAAGGGGTACAGTCTTGCAGATAGCCTGGATTCCTCAGGATAACTACGGAGACTTCATCTGAAGAGAAAGATGCTAGTGAGGATTTCTTTGCACAAACTAATCATTTGGGTTTTACAGATAGAAACACAAGAGCGCTCCAATGCGTCAACCTCATTAAAGCCCACTGACCAGCAGGAGGGGCTTTGGAGTTTCTTATTCCTTGTGCTGGCCTCTGCTCAGAAGTTAATTTTACCCTTAAAGCGTTCCTGCTACTGAATGAGGTAGCCATTCTCTTGGTGTGAAGCTGTAGGCTATTAAACTTTTCATTTCAGGTTCACAGCTGGAAACTACTCTCCACTCTCCTAGCTGCAGATGAGCTGTTCACGGTGATTTTCCTGGCTTTGCTTGCCCTTGCTGGACAGGGAGGGAATGGCGTGTGTCACAGAAGGGCACATTTGCTTGAGATGGGAACCCATGTATATCATCACCTGCTGTTATAAATGGTGTTGGCCTGAGCTTCATGAGATTCATTGTCTTCATGAAGTGCCAGAGCCAGAGAATGCACCTCACGGGGGCTCGTGCCACCCAGACTGCCAAAGGTCAGAAAACAGTTCTGCTGGGCCACTTCCTCTCAACTCTTTCAAGACATCTTTGTCTGCAGGACCTGTTTGTGGTATGTGATTGGAGCGTATTATCTTTTCAACACATTTATCAAGGTCCCAAGAGGTTAAAATAGAAGGAAACCGACTGTCTCAGGGCAGAAAAACAAGCGGAAACTGGAACAAAGTGTTTTTTCCTCAAAGCAGGAAGCCATTCTCAGAGTTTCTTGACAGCAGGGGACTGAAAGACTGTGGAGTTGATTTAAGGCCAATGCCTCGTCTTCCCATCCCCATCAAGAAATCATGGTTGACTGATAATAAAGTGATTGGAAAAATCTTGTTCCCAGGCAGGGAAAAAAACAAGTACAACGAGCCAAAAACACATACCTTTCCCATTTGCTTAGCGAATGCATCTGCTATGCACTTAATAGCCATAGATGTCATTGCCAATCCTTTACCTTCTATATATAATAACAGGTTACTATACAGAATAACAGGTTGAGGCATTGTGTGATAGAACTCTTCCTAACACTTACCAACCGATGCAACTGTTAATAAGATGTAATTAAGAGTGGCTTACCCGCAGCGCCCAGTGCCAGTCTCCAGCAACCTGCTTCACACTTGACCCCGTGATGTATCCCAATCCACTGCAAGTAATATGAAGATGAGAGTCAGTCAGCACCACAGTCATAGCTGTTCTTAAACAAAGATTAAAAAAGTCACAATCAATTGTGTGTCCTAGGCTCTCTTCTCCTGCAGGAAGAAGAAGCTGGTGGTGGCTAATATGTAACTCTTCCCAGCACTGTTGATCTAAAAATGCTCAAATCCAATGGAAATTCAGACACTGATCTCAAGTTTATAGCTGACCTTTCAATCTACAGTGGATGGAAACAAAGCCTCAAAAAGAATTTATTTCCCAATTCAATTTCTACATCAGGCCTTTCTGTGCAGTAATACGAATACTTAAAAATTTTATGTTCAAGCACTCAGTTAAGAAGTGCCCTTCAAGGACACACCATATTTTGTCATTAAATTGTTTCTTGCCATTTCATAGTACTTGGTTCTAATTACTCACGAAGAGAACATTTTCCATAAGCTTATTAAAAACCCCAAGAAGAATATGCAAGACCGTCTGATGGGAGAACATCGGACCTGAAGCTTGGAAATCCCCTCTGAAGATAAAGGAGCAGCAGAACCTTCAACTACATGTAAGAATTAACGCTGTGGTAACAAAAGGTGGCTCCCAAGAGACTAGATCAAGGTGAACGTAGCCACGCTTCTCTCAAAGCGAACTGAATGGATGTGAATATCCTTTTTTCCAAACTGCTGCATTTGTTGCTGAGATTGCCTTGGCTAAAAGTTGCCAGGACTGCTGCAGGGCAGCTGTCAGCCATCCCGTGCCTTTATTGAACAGTCTGCTAAGCTTTGGAGGTTGCCATCTATAATCACCCCCAAACTGGGCTTTATACACAGACAGGACCCAACATCAAAACATGGATCCAAACCTCTGCTGGATATTGAGAGACTTAAGCCCCAGAATCAGGCTCAATGGGATGAATATTTGTCATTTCTTGCTAGCCATAGTTCACTGAATTATCTATGTAAATACTTGGCATCCTTGGCCCTCTTGGGAAAATATTCTTTTCACCAGTTAAGGACCTGCCTATCTCTTTTTCCTCAAGAGCAAATGGATGCTTGTGAGTTTCATCTCAGAGATGAGTGCTCTAACTTGTAAAATGCACCACCCTAAACCAGAAGTTTTTCCCTGAGTTGAGGGGGGGATTAAATTGCTGCCCATGTTTTCCCTGCCGGAAATGAATCCATGATGCCACATTTGCACAGGATGTTGTACAACTCTGGGGATTGGTATGTAAACCTTGTGAACTAAAAATATTTTTAAGAGTCAAAATTTCAGATTGTGTATGTTATATAGCATACTCCTCTTGAAACCTCTGATATTTAGACTTCACACAGAAGCAGGTACCCATTTGCCTACTTTTGAGAACTGAGCCCAGTGTCTTAAGAGATCTTGATTTCACAGGAACCTGAAAGGCATTGCCAAAAGAAGGCCTAGACCTCACATGAATCATTTCAGAGAAACAAAATAACATTATTCAAAATGATAGTTTAATTTAATAATGCTAAAAAAAGTCAGCTAAAATATTTGTATTCCATTTCCACTCAATTGCTGTAAAAAAAATAAATAATCCTTCCCACTAATTCCCAAAAGTCACATCTGAACCAGTAAGAGAGCTAGAAAAAGAATCCAATTCCTGCAACTAATTAGTCACTGCTCACAATATTTTCCTGTCTAAGCCATTCCAACCAAAGACAGAACTATTATCATTAGCAACTTAAAATCTGTGTGAGCTTACTTAAGAGAAAAGCCAAAACCAGATGAAAGAAGCATTCTGTCACTTACCTGCCAAGAGGAATTGCAAAGTAGAAAACAGACAGCATAAGGGTCCTTGTGTTTTTGGTGAAAAGGTCTCCTATGATGGTTGGTGCGATAGTGGAGTAACTTGCTTCACCGATGCCAACCAAACCTCGCGAGAGCACAAGCAGCCAGAAATACTGAGAAAAGAAATAAAACACCTTAGCAGGTCTCCTCTTGTCTTTTTGGATTCAGGACGGACAACAGTGAAAGCTGTGCAAATAGGGAAATACAAACCCATGTGACGGGAAAGTGACCCCCCTGTATGCATTTATTTTTTAAAACATCAGAATCTTTTCATTTGCCTCTTGCTGAGGAGGAAAGGGACTATATTTTTTGTGAAGATTTATAGCCATCAAAGAAAAGTTGTAATAATAATACAGGTTACACTGTGACACTCAAGAAGATATTTCTATTACAGGCAGAAGATCCTCAGTTTATTCTCAGGATGTAGCTCACCCTTATTAAGCCCAACACCACACTGACAGAGGAAGGTCTGGGCAGGCGGGCGAGTGGAACAAATCCCGCTCTGGGATCCAGAGAAATAATATCAGCTGAACACAATCCCAACCTCCTCAGCGTGCCAAGGGACAAGTTAAGACTGTTGAAATCCTAAAGGCCCTTCAAAGCTGTGAATAAGTTGAACCTGCAACCCCCCAAACTCTCGATTTTCTCCTTGATTAGAAACTACTGAATAAGGGAAGTTTTTCAAAGGTGCTAAGCACCTATCTCACTCCACTTGCTTGGAAAAAAGCATAAATCGCCTGCTTGCAGCAGTAGAGCAGAGTAAACCAACACTGAACACTTCTGAAAAACCTCAGGTTCCAATCTGCGCTGAGTTCCAAAGAGATAAGACTTGAGCTTTACTCAACCGCAGGAGCATCAGTGTGCTCGGTAAGTAGTACCACCAGGTGAAAGATTCAGAGCCACACAGCTGAAAAGGCATTAAGCTGCCCAGAGAATTACGTGCCCTTCTGAGTAAAGGGCAATCCAACAGAATGAGGAGATGGACTTCACGTTCAACACAACACCACCTAAAATGGATGAAAAGGAATTGTTCCTTTAATATAATCTTCATGGCCTGTTTCCCCGTTTCAGCCAACACTATCTTAAACTGCAAGGACCTGATTTTCAAGCCACTCTCTTCCACTACACTTACAGTTTTCTGGGTGCTGCTGTATGAAGGCATAAGGCACATACTTGGATGCCTAAATACCTGATAGATGAGCACAATCAAGTTCTCGGATATCTAAGCAGCTTGAGCTACATCCAGAAGTAATTGCAGGCACAGAAATGAAACAGTCAATGACAGAAAACTGTAAGCACAAGGAAATTTATTTCTACAAGTGTAACCTCTACAAATCCTCAATTTACTGTTATTATTCTGTAGATCATTTGTGAGAAGAACAGCAGGGGTTATGATATATCCTTAACCATGAAAGTGCTTTGACAACAATGAGTGATTACTGATTCCCCTTCTTCAGATGGGAAAAAGTTGAGTTACAGAAAAGTGACCGTCTTTGTGCCTACAGCAAAGCTAAGCCAGAATGCGGGATGCTCATTCTCAAATATCAAAGTGCCATGCAGACATCAAGCCACGTGCCTCAGTCATAAATACATCCATCACCAGACAAAAATCTACCACTGACACGTTTTCATTGTTTTCCCCACTGTAATCCCCTGGTTGAAAAGAATTTCTTGAGGATTCCTGTAGCCACACAAAACAAATACTTTCGAGCACTCTTCACTTCCTCTTATTTTGACGTAAATTCTGCATCAACACCTATTTTCTGAGGGTATACAAGTTCCTTGTTTGCTGGCAGGGCGTTTACAGTGCTGCTATCATTCATACATCTCCCATAAGCTGCACATACGTAACAGAGACATGTGGGTGTATGCAGAAAGGGCAATACTGTGACTCAAGCTTTTTAATTTATGCCAATTATGCAATGCTAAACCACTCCACTGCAGAAATATGCTGATAATGATTGGTGCACAGGTAACCCATGTATTTGGAATGAGCAACAGTATTTATAACATGCTGAATGACTTAGTCATGCAGAATTAGAAAGCGGGGGAACTGGAGGCTGATTTTGGTTTCTTAGGAGGTTCAAATCTGGATCACAGAGAGGGTGACAGGCAAAACAGTCACCTGCCAGACCCAGAATGAGTCTGTAGACAGTGCTAGTTACACCTGCAGAATGACAAGTTTGCAAATGCACTGGATGTTCCTCAAATTTGAAATACCTACATAAAAATGACACAAGTTTGTGCTCACCAACCAGTATCACTCCCAGTGAATGCACTGGACAGGAATTTCCTCAAAATCATGCTGTTATAAGGTTCCTCTTGCAATCCTTGCATAAAGTAGGAAAACTGTACAAAGTTTTCCTTTTGTGTGAAAGAGTGACTCGGTTTCATCAATACCATTGAATCAGAGTCCCAGTACAATGAAATCATCTGCAACAAGTAACACATTCATTCTTCTCCCCCAGTTCCTCCTCAAATCCTCCTCCCTGGCTTATCCCATACTTACACATTAAGAATATCTGTTTAATATTTAAACTATATTCTCTGAAGCAGCGGTATCCACATTTAAGTCATGAGATTCTGACTTCAGCTGGCAATAAAAGCAGTCTTACAAAAGGATAATCTACATAAAGACATGAATGGTATCGCTTTTCTGAGATGATTTATTCAAGACTATGGACAATGCAGCTATGTAGGTGTAACATCTAGGCAAAACATACAGAAGTCTACAACAACATTAGGGAATTATAATCAGTTCTATGTCTAGGATTAAAGAACTAATGCCTCTTTTTATCTCACTGAAAGATCTCTTCTGGATCTTTGGCTAGCACACATCCTATCGGAATCGATACAATAAAATTATGCAGTAATTTGTTACAGTAAGCTAGAACCCTCAAATCTTCCATCTCTAATCATAGTCAGTCAAAACTTAAGTTTTACCATCTCTGAAGAGGGAAAGCTGGGTAGCTCCCCAAATAAAAAGTGATCCTTGCAGAGAGAGGCCTAATCTTTTCATTTTTCATACAGGAAGAATAAATATGCACAAAACAGCTCCAAAATTCTTACATTGCTACTCACTTGGATCACAGACATACCATGAACCACTTAGAAACTGGTCCCAAAACCACTATGTATGCATTATAGACACCTACTATTCTTTGTGTGTGCATTTATATACACATACACCCATATGCAGCACATCTTTCTCTCCGAGCATACGCGAACATGACAACCTGCATAAACAAACGGGAAAGTCAGGTATAATCCACGCAGAGGAAGCACCGCTGTCCTCCACAGCTGCAGCAGGATACTTCTACCATTTCCTCTGCACCAGATTTTCCCCCCAAATGCTTTTCCCTCTTTGTCCTACCCCAGGATTCTCAGCAGTTTAGTGAGACAAAAAGGGCTGACACCAGCCAAATTCTACATTATCTGCGCTTAAAGCAATACAGGCAGCTAAGACTTTTAACTGAATTTCACCATTCCCCAAGAAGAAATTGATATATATTAAAGAAGCTTGTTGTTCCTTTCTACATTACTTTGGAAACTCTTCTGCAATTCGTTCATCTGTGCAAATAGTTCTCACTCTGGCAGGTAAATTGAAAATATCTGAGTCAGCACCTGAGCTTGTTCCTTCTCCATAGGTTAAGCCCCGCAGCCGCAATACTTCAGCCTCTTTTTCTCTGGATCACTGCTTGCAACTAAAGCTTTTTGAAACAAAGAGCTATTACAGCAAACAATTTATTTATGTCTTTAATTTTGGTTAGCAGTTATGTCAGAGATGACTGCACCTCCACGAGAGCTGCCAACATTTCCTGTTTTGTAGAGATGTGCAATGGTTTTCTTCGAATGACTGTGTGGCAGAAACCCCCTTCCTTGTCTGTGCTTCAGCCTGAAGTGCTACAGAGACTATCGCAGTCACAGCCAGGGCGCCTGGGCACCAGCTTGGATGTGGACAGCTGTGGAGGGGTTATCACAGCAACACCTGAACCATACAGTGCGACTGCTATGAGCTCTGGGGGCAATTTAGGATGCAAAGGTGCTCCAAGTCCTTTTCTCCAACTTGTATGTGGCACAGAGGGGCTGATGAGACACAAGCCAGGAAAGATTCCAGTACTCAATAAACCATCAACACATGGAAAGAATGGTGGCTGAGAGAGACCCAGCACCACCGTGGCCTTCCTGGGAATTTCCCCTCAAGAGGTGTCGTCACCAGAAACGAGCGCACAGAGAAAGCACTCATACACATCTATGTGAGGTAGAAAAGGTCAAAGGACCTGCTCTCTTCTTCCCACCTCTTAACTCTATGGAAGGGAAAATATGCTCTAGTTCTAAAACTGAAGACTTCACTACTTTGTAATTTGAAGACTAACAAACCCAAACAAAAAAGAAACCCAATCCCACAAAATAGGTATGAGTTTTGGAAGGGATACAAGTCCTTATGCCTCAGGGAATGCATCCATCACTAATAGGAATGCACAACCTACTAATTTCTAAATTTCTTAAACTACCAGCAAACTGTAGGCAAGAGCAGTGATAGTTCATGGGGACAGATGGACCTGGTCTGGTTACTGTTCCCAATGACACTATCCCACAGTAGATGCTACAGGCCTGACACAATCCTTTCAGAATTTTCATCTGAAAAAAGCTTTCATGATTTGAGTTAAATATTTATAATATGCCAAAAGATAGTTCATGTATTTTCGCCACAAAGTATGAGATGGCTTATATTCTCATTTTCATACTGACTTTACTCTCAATCTCATGTGCACATAAATGTTTGAAGGCCTAGGACACGTGACTAGTTTTAATCGTGTTTGGACAAACCTCCTAATTATACATTTATCCTAGTTGTATAGACCATTGAGTAATACATGTTTTAATAGGTCTAATTACAGCTTTAACTTCTTTCTCTTTTTTTAATTAGTTAACAAAAGGAATTAAGTCACAGCTCTTTAAAAGATTAGCTGTCAGTGATAAACCTATAATCTGCCAAATATGTGTACAACTCTGAACCACCAGATTTACTGTCTAAAGAATCATATGATCCTTAAGCTTCGGTTAAGTATTTGCATTTGAATGTGGAGTAGCTTGTAAGGGTCTCATAAAC